TATTACTATATCTAAGCCACTCCTTTGCTTGTTTTGTTTCTCAGGAGAAGTACTAGAAGGTGGTTAAGGCAAATGAAAAGCTAGAGAAGCAGGTGTCGTCTTTGAAGGTAATTAGGTGCCTTTAGAAACTCTAACAGTTCATCCCAGACTAAGCAAACTCTACATGTCAGTGTTAGATTTTTTCAGAGAATTTAGGATGAGTTGATCACCATTTTGATCCTTTTAAACTATATATAGCTCAATATAGCTATATATGTGCACATTGGTCAGCATTTGTTAGCTGCAAGTAAATATATGACCTTTGCTTTGTTGAATTACAGGACACCTACGAGAATGTGGTTCAGAAACATAGTAAGTTAAAGAAGGAGGTGCGATCACTGAAGGTACACTCATGTTGCTGACTGAATTTTCACTATTTGTATCATACCACTATTGCATTTTGATATCTATCTAACTAGACCACTGTGATATCTATTGCATTGTTCTCTGCTTATTCTGCTGTAGATGTATGCAGTACATTCTGACACTAGTAACTGAGATGAGCTGGGTTCTTCTTTTTCAGGATAAGTATGATTTTGTAGTTGAAAATAATGATAAGCTGGAGGAGCAGATGGCTTCTCTCTCCAGCTCCTTCTTGTCTTTCAAGGTAGGTAGTAGAGCCCTGTTGCATTGGATAGAATTACTGTCCTAAGCTATCTGTGTTCCTGGAGTAACTAGGTGTTTTCCATTTTGACTCCACGGGAACAATTTCAGTTGGCAGAGAAGCTGAAGAGCATTGGAATAGACGAGGTGGTTGTGGCTCAGAATGAGGGGAGGCGGGCACTAGATTTTGGTGGTGGTGAGCAGAGCCAGAGCAGGCAGCGTTCAGATGTTAGCGCCGTCCAGTTCCAGGCCGGCGAGAAGAGGACGGCGAGGAAGAGCAGCTTCCGCATCTGCAAGCCGCAGGGCACGTTCCTCTGGCCAAGCAGCACCGGCACGGACATGAGCGGGAGCGGGGGAGGCAGCTGCGGCATCAGCGGGTTGATTCTAAGGAAACACATGGGGCTCTTTGCAAAAACGCACGCGTTGACCGGCTCGGGGCCAGGAGTCCACTTGTCGCTCTGCGATTGATCCAGGACCTAAGTTGCACATTGGGTGCAAGTTGTGGGACTGGTAGGGTCGTTTTGCAAGTTTTAGGACCAAACCATCACATTATGAACAAGTTGTAGGACTTTCAGTGCTTTTAACTCTTGTAGCAACCACTGTATAGCCACCGCTGCAAAGAAGTAGTCCCAGAGACGTGCGTCATGTGGGGATGTCCATTCTCACAGTTGGTGGAGCCCACCACTACTGACCCACATCATCTCCTTTTTCTCATATTTTTCCACCGAACACGCCCAAGCTGTACTGTTACTCTTACGTGCAAAATTACTAGAAAAAGGCTGCAACATCTTTCATTCTTTTCTGTGTGTGTACAACATGGCCGCAAACATTTTACTATAAAAGAATATTTAATATTTCTACCGTATATGTGCATTAAATCATAATTCATTGCAACAAAGTCATTCAAAGAAATGGCCGCAACATAACATGTTAACTTAGGTCGCCTAACAAAAATACACAACAATGAAATCTCTTTGGAAATCTAACCTAGAAAAATGCACAGAGCGTTGCATGTTATTTGGGATCCATATGATTCTTTGTGGCCATGACATGGTTTGCAACATGGCAGTCCGCTTTATAAAACAAAATAGTGACGCTTGCTGCAGGCGGACTAGCTCCACAACATCATTTGCACCCCTTGCATCGTTGTGTCAGCCGTTCGATCAGTGTCGCGTCAGCCATTTGCTGCGACCCGCCATTTGCAACATGACCCATGTTGCGCTAGGGGTTTGCAACATGACCTATGTTGTGCTTGCGTTGCAAACACTCCTTGATCGTCCAATCATTTTCTGACCGTTTGCCATATGACTCATGTTGTGCTCGGGAGTTTGCAACATGACCCATGTTGCACTCGCGTTGCAAATCTTCCACGGCTACCCAAGCATTTTCTGACAATTTGCAACATGACCTATACTGCACTCGGGGGGTTTGCAGCATGACCCATGTTGCACTCGAGTTGCAAACACTCCTTGAAAATCCAAACGTTTTCTTGACCATTTACAACACATGGCCCATGTCGCGCTCGCGTTACAAACACTCCTTGACAGTACAAGTGTTTTCAGACTGTTTACAACTTGACCCGTATTGTGCTCGCATTGCAAACAGGGACGGAGCCAGGTTTTGGACATGAGGGGGGCAAATGCGATAACAATCGTTCAGGACGCACAATGCAAGAATATAGTCCGAAAAGTTGCGTTGATAAAAATCTTAGCAATTCCTGTGGTTATGTTCAGATGATGTACTTCCATTTTTATCAACTTCTTATACTTCCAACAATAACTAGATTGGAGTCGAGTTATCATCTGCAACCGGTTAACTTCTGATGGAATTTCAGATCCAACAGTAGGAGCATCCAAGTTGGAAACATCAGATTTGTAAAAAGAACATATTTCTGTTGCCTTTATCAATCTTTAATCTTGAGTTAAAGAGAGTGGTTTTTATCTCTAATGACATTGCTAATCTAAAAAAAAATTGACCACCAGCAAATTGCATTATGCAATTGTTCTAATCTTCCAATTCACGGGTATCTAGTACTGATAGATTGTACTTTCTAGCCTGCATTAGTATATTGATGTGTGTACCTTAAACATTGAGCTAGAGTGCCAAGGTCGGGCGATGAAGCAGGCAAGCAGCCGTGATCGCTGTTTCGATGGAGTGAACTAGTCGTGCACATCATTAGTATTTGCCATGGCATCATGTTCATCACATGGTGCGAACTTAAATCAATTGGCCTGAAAAAAAGGTCTCAATTGATTTCTTGCTCTTCATCTATAAAAACATGAGTAAACAGTCAAATATTTTCTGATCAATTTCTATCAGTTTTAGGGTACAAATTAAAACAGATCATAAACTATAAATCTAGAAGTTAACCGCTTGATAAGACTAACTATAGATCATAAGGCTAACCGCTTGATAAGACTAACTATAGATCATAAGGCTAACCGCAGATCATAAACTATAAATCTAGAAGTTAACCGCTTGATAAGACTAACTATAGATCATAAGGCTAACCGCAGATCCGTGAGTCGTGGCCGTGCTTGCGCTGAACTGGAGGTTGATGAAATCGCTTGTTTCAGCCGTAGCTGGTTGATGTCATCATGGCGGAGAGTAGCTGAGCAACGTCTCTAGATCGATCTACAGCGCGCCGGCCCCGAGCGAAGACGACCGAGCGATGAAGATGAACAGAATAGCGAGCAGGCTGCTAGGCTTGATCGGATGTATATCCAAGACTAGGCCTGTAGCACTTATTTAGGGAAGACTAGGCTTGCTTTTGTTTGTTTTGGGCGGTTGTGAGTAGCAAGTAATGCCTAATGGGCTTTAGTTAGGCGCGAAGCCCTAGTCAGGGGGGTGAAAACGTTACAACGCTTTGGTTTAAAGCGATTCGTTCCTAAAAATAATATCGCTATTAGGGAGTTAGCAATTTGTTAGGGGCGGTCAATCCCCCCCTCGTCGTCCCCCCCCCCCCTCCACCCCTTGAATCCATCCCTGATTGCAAATACTTCACGGTTGTCAAAGTATTTTTTGAGGGTTGCGCGCTCTGGGGTTTGCAACATGATCCATGTAGTGTTCGCGCTGCAAATACTCCACGACTATCCAAACGTTTTTTTCCCATTGCAACATGATCTATGTTGTGCTTGGGGGTTTGCAGCATGACCCTTGTTGCTCTTGCGTTTCAAACACTCCCTCGACCTGGTCGGCCTACAACATAGCATTTGCATTTCAAAACAGCCCTGCAGCAATAAATAGCCACCCTTTGCAGCATAGCGTGTCCCATTTTGCGGCAATAATGACCACTTGTTGCACCGTCGCGTGTTTTGGCTTGCAGTAGTGGGGGTGCCGGGCTTTGCAGAGTGTCGCATTTCATTTTGAAGTGGTGACAACTACTCCCTGGCAGCATTGTGCGTACCAATTTGAGCAGCAATGACCAATCCTTGCAAGTCCCTTTTGCAATGTTGAACGTCCCCGTTGGCAGCAGCGGCTTAGCAGCTAGCTACAACATGTTCCGGCGTGTATCCTCAATTGCAACATTGACAATTTTTTTTCTGCAATACCATCAGGGTGTTCTAATTGGTCATGTAGCTACTGGCCAGTGCATGGCATTCCGTTACTAGCTTGTGTTAGCATGTGACAGCGACGGGCTGGCTGTAGTCGAGAACCATAAACTCCCTCCGTTCCGATTTACTCGCCGTGGTTTTAGTTCAGAACGGAGGGAGTACTAGTATAAGGGAATCAAAGCTACGCCATAGGTTACAGGGACCATGCACGTGAAAATCGGTCAGACTTTGGCTCACTGTGCGCTGTGATACAACTAAATCACACTCGACGCTTCGGACGGCTCAGCGCGCCTATAATCAGCCGGATGAAAGTAAGTGTTTTCTCTTATTTTGGGACGGAGGAAGTAATATTTTAAAATGCAACAGCAGAAAAGTAATGTTTGTACTTTTGCTTGCGGTCGGGGCGTTTCAGCATTTGTCCCTAGCAACGTCGGAAAGCTGTGCAGTGTCGGGAAGCAAAGGAATCTATCGTTTGTGGTCGGATTTTAGCACGAGCCACCTCACGTGCCCCGGCGTGCATACAATTCAGAGAAGTAGCATGTTAATCTCGTCGTAATCCTCGTCTTTTGCCCCGGCGGCTGCATATGTGATCTTGTCGTAACCCCCGCATGCATATGCTCAGCCCACCCGAGGAATATTGGGACACAGACATCGAGAGGGGTGCATGGATGTACTCCTCCTACATATAGGTGGGCTACTGTACCAAAAGTAATCTAACACCAGTTCATATCACAAGGACGCCGGGGGAGACCTACACCTCCTTTGTTTGCTTTGGAGTGACATTTGGAGTGCCCCACGAGCGCAATGTCGTCAGGTAAGTAAGAAGTTGATTTAGTTCTGTTTTGATTCTTTGTTAGATGGAGTAAGTGGATTTAGCTACCTTCCCACTATTTTAACAAACATGCTATTTACTCCGATAAAGTGTTTCTTCCCGCTTTAGACTATAAAGCAACAACCGAGCATACAAACATTCTGGAAGTATACAATCACGTCTTCTTTGTCAACTTTTGCATGTCAAATTTTAATGTTTTTCGAATATTACAAACTCCAAACTATAGTGCTTCGTTTTTATTTAAGGAATTAACCAGATCTGTGGATCATTTCCCACCTTCTAGTTAGCAGGATAATAGCAACAGATCTAGTAGATTTTTATTTTTTATTTTATTTTCTGCTGTTAGTTCCTGTGTATGAAGGATAGAATAGTTATGTTTTTCTTTTCCCGGAAAGGAGGTTAGCATCCCCGTAAGGATATACTGTAATAGGTGAAGAAGCTAGCATAATTCTAGTTAGTTAGCCCAAAAACATAAACAGATCTAGTAGATTCTTTTTCTTTTCCGTTGTTAGTTCCCCTAGATGAAGGATCTAAGGGCATGAGAAATGTGTAGTGCCGCTGCCAATACTAAGGATTAACACATTCACATGGTGTCTAAGTTGCCAAACACCTTGCAATGTGTAAGCACTTCTCCCAAACCAGAACAAACCCACAAGATAATATACAAATCATATTACTGATGTTTGATCGATGGGTACGTGCTAGCTTTTCACCCTCTATCACTACTGGAATCTACGGGTTTGCAAAGCGCCCAAAAAACTCAGCAAAGGCTTTGCTAAGTGTAACACACGGCAAAGCGCACACGTGTAAGTCTGGCCGGCAAAGACATCTTTGCTGACTCGCGGACACTTAGCAAAGACTTTGCCGACTGTTTTTTGCCCACTCGCAAATACAGTACCGGCCGGCTGTATTCTTTTTCTATATGATATATCAATAATTTTCTATTTTTAGGTTAGTGTGTGAAAATTTTAGCTTTGGTTTTTCTATGCAAAATGTGTTCTTTTCCTCTGAAGAAAATCTATTTTTTTTCCAGTCTTCTATCTGCCCCTAACCCTTTGACATGCAATTTCAAGTGTTGTAATTCATTGAAGCTGCACGATCCACAATGTGACTGTAAGTTGGCGGCTACAACTGGGTCAGGAGGCGGTTTGTCTAGCCAGTTGCATATCCACCACTAGGCATTCCCAAATTTAATTAGGAACCAGAAGGATATCAATTAGCAGCAATTTGGATTTTCAAAGAAACATCTAATTATTAAATTAATCTACTGTCCTACAAGCTAGATTACTTAGGCAGCTAGGTTAATCCATAGGAAAAGTACTAGCATTAGAGGTAGTGTATGTCTGTGTACCTTTGAAACTGAGCATAGATCATGCACAAACACTCGACAAACTCAGCGACATGGCAGAATTATCACACCGCCGAAGCAAACTATGTCCGTGTCATGATCTATTTAGTCCTTTTGCACCCGGCGGCTTGCAAACACGAGAAGCGGCCGACGGCTGGACTCGAGAGAAACAAGACAACGAGCAGCAGCAAGAACCGTAGCAAACTAACAGATCAACCTTGAAGATCAGAATTACGGGGATCATGGGGATCCCCTAGTGGATTCTACCCGCTCGAAGCCGGTGGAACGGGAACCAAGGGACATGAGGAGGCGGCTCCAATTTTGTATGCGATCGTTGTCGCGAACCAGCAAGCGCCGGGACAACCCGCTGCTCAGGGGGCAGGACCATCTATGGAGATTTATGTAGGTAACCCCAAAAAGCAGAAAAGTGGTGATGGACAAACTGAAACACAAGACTTGGAGGTCGTGGCCGCGGCTAATGATCTAGCAAGGGTGGAGGGCATGACCTCGGAGGTGACCGGCCAAGGGGCCACCGGCAACTTGGTGGGGCCAATGGTGGCGCAGCAACGAATATACTCAACTGGAACTGCCGAGGGGCGGGGAACTTGCGGACAGTTCACGATCTCTCGAGCTTGATGCAAGCTCATTATTCCCCTAGTATCGTGTTCTGCTTGCTCTCTCGTAAGAGTGGTTGGTAAACCCTAAGTGTAAGGGTGATATAATCTAGCAATAAGTATTTCCCTCGATTGAGAATCAAGGTTTATCAAGCCAGTAGGAATTTCTTCTGCAACACTAATCCTCGGTACCTGCACACCAAACACAAAAAAATCTTCTCAACAATCTTGCCCCCAACGTTTTAAGAAGGTTGTCAAGCTTCTTGTCCTGCTTGTTACAAGGATAAATTGTATGGTATGGTAGGAATTGATAGATATATAAAATAACAAATACAACCCTCTTTGGCGAAGGAACTAAATATTCAGAGGATCATTCTCGAGACTGATTCACAAGTGGTGGTGAGGAAGCTTTTGAACGACCTAAAGGACTTCTCGGCCAATGGGCAACTAGTGGAGGAGTTCAAGGTGTTACTTGGATCATTACCGGAGTTTAGGGTTGCTTGGGTGAGACGTTCTGCAAACAATATCTGTATGATAGGAGTACAAAAGTTAGCTCAAGTTTTCAAGCCACCATTTTTTTAACTTTATGATATGATATTTTCTCTAGCTAACATACAGATACCTGCTGTACTCTGAGGCTGCTGGAGTACTACCTATCATACAGATAATCTCGTGACTAATTAACTGCGGTATGCAGATGCAGGAACAGCTGGGACTTCCAATTCCGTGGCACCAGCAGCCGCGCAATCCGGCGGAGGAAACAACTCGAGCCAACATGTGGTGATCTCCGAGGCACGTCAGCCATTCCGTGCCGTGAACGAAGACCTGTTCACACCCTTGAGCGTGCCGATCGGACCCTACCATCGTGCTAGTTGCTCAGATAGATGGAAGCAAGAGAAGAAGCGCGTGGCCGAGGAGACCGTGAAGTATCTCCAGGATTCGCGTGGCCAGGAAGCAGCGTATCAGCTCGAGGAGAAGGTTGGGCAGCTGGTGGAGGATGTGAGGGGGTGTTACGGCGGTTTGCCCGACATGAAATCCGAGGAGTTGGTCAGCATGCTGCTGCATGATGGGTGCTACGTGCTCAAGTTCTTCGTACAATACCCTGGACATCCGGATGTCAGTCCGCCCAGAGGCGAGGACAACACGGTGATGCGCGACATCATGTACCTCCTTGAGAACCAGTTGCCTATGATCGTCCTTAAACGGATCCATCAGTGCCTGGTGCCTGAGAGATCCGTCGTCAACGACGTAGAAGACCGTGTTCTGGGACTGCTGAGTGCACAGCTCTACATCAGAGGAGTAAAGAAGCCGCGGCAGGCGGTGTCTTCTCACCTCCTGGAACTGGTGCACACCTACTTCCAGCCACGATTGGACCACTCTTCCATTTCCGTAGATTCTGCTGAACAATCGGAATCTCACCAGCAGAGAAGTGCAACTAGAAACAATGTTCAGAATGACGCTGAAGTCACGGGTAATACGCGCCGTTGCATGGGGCGGTGGCGCCGGGCGACAGAGTACAGCAGGTACGGCGACGTGCAGCTCAAGCGTCAGGAGTTCGCGGCCGGTGTGGTGGAATCCATTCTTGACGTGAGTCTTGAAGGAAGGACGCTGTTGATCCCACGCCTGCGGATTGTTAGCAGCACTTGGACGATCCTACGCAATCTGATGGCGCTAGAGGAGCAGACAGGCGGAGACGGGAGCCCCGTCACAGCCTACTGCCTGTTCATGTCGCAGCTGGCGTCTAAGGTGGAGGACATTGAGCTCCTGAAGCGCAAAGAGATCGTCGATCACTATTGGGGTAACGACGAGGAGGTCGCACAAGGCTTCGCCGACCTCTGCAAGAAGGTGGTCTTGGACGTCGACGACGTCGACAGTAACTACCTAGGCCACATATGGCACCGGCTGCATGAGCGCTGCGAGAGCCTGGGGCACAACTGCTTGGGATCATTCCGCCAAAGGCACTGCGGCGACTCCATGCGCATCCTTGCATTCGTCACCGCTGGCTTACTGTTTGCTTTTCAGCTGATTCAGGTCATCCTTACCGGTTTCTCCTTACGACAACAAGGCAAGTAAGCAGCCGCGCCAGCTTAATGGCGTAGGCGTACTATTGTAATAAGGGTAATTTGCACTGTCAGTTTTTTTTCTCCCTAGACTAGATCAGTCTAAGTGCTCATCTCAGTGGGTTTTTCGTGGCGCTTTTAGGCTTTGCTTTTTCGTTTGAATGTTTACACTAGATTCGGGTGGCTTGTCGTTTCTGTTTTCTTTTGTAATGGAGAACTATAAGGATGCTTTTGTAAGCATAATCTTGTGCATGGCATCTTTCTTTATTTCCACTTAGTTTGTGTCAAGTATCTGTTTTTTCCGCGGCATGCGATCTTCTTTTCATGTTGAGATGGCTGATTATCACGTAAATAAAATGGGTTAGTATTTTTTATTTGTAGTTATTAGGCTGCTGCCAATGCATGAGTGCTTAGATGAGGTGCTAAGCACATTAAATAGCTTAGCAACTATACTCCCCAATGCATAGGTGCTTAGCTTATGGTTGCTAAGCTTGCTTCATTTAATGATTTAACAACTAAAGCTCTTCATGTATTGGTGGGCTCCTTTCTTTTAAATGTTTTGCCTAGGTTCACGCGCTTAGCATTGGTTCTTCCTGGGGTCACCACACTTATCTCTCTTCTCTTAAATAACTTGCCACATCAGATTTTTTGCCTACGTGGAAGGTTTAGCACCTGTACAAGGTGGAGCATTGGGAAGGGCCTTATATGACCATCTTGGCTGATTATGATTTTCCATTATGTACGTGTATTCTTTAAATTTACAGTTCGGTTGAGCATTTTTCATAGACGAATATATAGACATGCTTAACCCATTTTATCAAAAAAATTATGTGTTCCATATACAATTTGTAAGTGTACATTTTGATCTCAATTGTTCGGAGCACCACACCGCTGCGGTAAGCTTTCCAAAGGGACGTTGTTCATGGTGGGTTTCATCGTCACAATGACCAGTAATTGCATCTAGTGTCATACAAAGCTTATTTTTTTGCTTTAGTCTACCATTTCCCCACCTTTATAATAAGAATCCAAGCCAGTGAGCACTATAAGCTGCCTCCACGCCACATGATATCACTATCCATGTCATGTGTCGGAGCTAAATCCGGCATATCTACTGCTAGGGGATCCTAAACTAGGCGTCTTGAGGCGATGGTAACAGGGACACAAAATTTATATAGCGCCCCCGACTATAATTGTGCACTAGTCTTACACGCAGTATGCACAATCACAAATGGTGAATCCACGGTAGTACCACAACACAACTCTACGAAACAAAATAAACATAAAACATTGTATTACTAATAGGGGTCGCAAGACCTTAGAATACATTAGAGCAGAAAGCAAATTATGTGTGACTACAGAAAAATATACATGAGTGCATTAGGAACGCTGAAACAAAACGACGACCCTGCCAAAGGTGCATGCGTCCTGTCTGGGACCCTCCGAACTACTAGTAGCTATCGTCGGAGATACCTACATCCCTGGTGCTACCATCTGAATGCAGCAACCGGGTTGAAGGAAGAAAATATCAAAGCAACGGTGAGTACTCATCCAAAGTACTAGCAAGACTTACATCAGACCTATGCTCCTTTCTCTAGCTAACATCAAAGGAATGAGGTGATATTTATGGACTGTACTGTAGAAACGCCACGATAGAGAGAAGCTCAACATAACATCTAACTACCAACATCTTGCAGCAATAGAAGAGAAAGAGCGCACACGGGTACAATAAACAACAATCAATGCAATACCCTAAGATCCTTCCTCGGCTCCCTACGAGAAAGCAGTACGCTGGCATTCTAACTATTATCTTGGTGTGTTTTATGAAGTATCCGATTTAAGATGTCTTCCCTGCATGAGATACATCTCCAAGTCGTCCGTTACCGTGGACGCACTATTTGAATAGATATTTCTTCCCTGCAACGGTGCAACACATTACCCGACACGCTCAATTACCCTATGGCCGGACACACTTTTTTGTGGGCTCTGCCAGGCCTCAGATGATCGACACGGTGAAGTCCTACGCCAGCTCTCCAGAGAGGTCACCCGCCAGGCTATATCCTAAACGTGAAGGGTTTTTCGGCCGCTCACCGTAAGCGCTCCACAAGCATTGCAATGCGGATTGGGGGTCCAAGCCCACTTCTGACCAGTAGTATTCGCATGCCCCCGACTAGCCCATCTCTGTGAATTGCGACATCTAAAAAGCTTTCGGTAAGGAACAGATGACGCTGAGGGCGCCATAAACCATTATCCCGTGTGCGGTTAGTGTGTATATGTTAGTGGCAGTCTCGGTTCAAATACCCAGAACTTTTTAGTCATGTTATTTCATTTACTTGCAGACAACTACCAGGGCCCTGGCTGACCTCATCCGAAGGGTATCTACCTTCCCTATTGTTCCCCCACGGTGAATCACTCAGGGCTGTCAGGTCCTTGGCCCATCTCATCCTAGATGGCACCACCAACCCTGCCACAATTCAAAACATAAACATAACATGATACAGTAGCAGTCATCATCGGTGTGATGGTTTCTCATTACAGTTTGTCTCACTCCATGTAGCAAGCCACTGATGTCTGAGTCGACCGTAGTGTAGCATATATATTATAGTAGTACAAAGTATATCCGTGATCGGCGCTCAGAGGGATCATGACTCGGTAATATAGCATGGCAAACGGACAAGGGTGTAAGACTAACTGATGAAACACAATCATCACTAACTAGGCATGCTAGGATAAAAGGTAAAGCATCAACGAAAGGCGATAAAAAGAAGATATGTATCATAATAGGATCTACCGATAAAACAACTATACCAATAACTGATGCAAGAATGTAGAGAGAAAGAATAGGCGATATCCGGAATGATCAAGGGGGTTTGCATGCCTGGAAGCTCTGCAGAGGAGACGGGATCTTCAATAGTATAGTCACACTTAGGTTCTACGACGGTCTCGGGGTCTACTGGAAATAAAGCAAATGTGGATACAGATAAACAACATGACATATAAATGCAACATAAATGCATGGCATAGCAAAATATGATGATAATATGGTATAATGCATTACTAAGCATTTTAATTGAAGTGGAATATTTTCCCCGGATCCAAATATTATTCCTTTATTTGATCCAGTAGCAAAATATCAATGTTCATTATGATGGTGAGGTTTGTCATGCAAGCAAATAAGGCCGGGTTGCCTTGCAGTGTCCTCGTACATCCTCTGGTCTTTTATGTCATAAAAAATGGTTAAAAAGTTTCGTAGCATTTGGACTCTGTTTGTTACTGATTTTATTAAAAACCAAAAACAAACAAAAAAGATCAGGGCACTGGGTTAATAGGTTAGTTTCCAAAAATAATATAAAATAGTATAAAAATGCATATAAAACATTCAAGATTGATAATATAATAGCATGCAACAATTAAAAATTATATACACATTGGAGACGTATCACTCATCACTAGTGCAGAACCGGGCAATTGCACCGGTTCGTAAGGCCCTTTAGTGCCGGTTCGGTAACCGGCACTAAAGTGTGGGCACTAAAGGCCCCCCCTTTAGTACCGGTTCAGCACGAACCGGTGCTAAAGAGAAACCACGTGGCACGAGGCGCGCCATGGTCTGGGGGATCTTTAGTCCCGGTTGGTAAGGATTTTTATATTTTTATATTTGAAATAAAGCAAAAACAGCCCGCCTACTGGGCCGACACGGCCTGCATACGACTAGAAACCCAATCTCTAGTTGGGCCAGGATGCAGGCCCGTACGGCCCAGTAGGGCCCATAGGGCAGAAGACTTGCAATAGGCCCACAAAGGCCTGCTTAGAGAGGAGCTCGATACGGTAGCCGCGGCAGGGCTTATAAACCGGTGCGAGCTCCTCTCAACTAGCGAGGTGGGACTAAACATTGTACACTGCGGGTGGCAGCGCATCACCTTTAGTACCGGTTGGTGGCACCAACCGGTACTAAAGACCCCCCCCTTTTTTAGTACCGGTTGGAGCCACCAACCCGTACTAAAGGCCATGACCTCTTTAGTGCCGGTTCGTGGCACGAACCGGTACTAAAGGTTCGCCACAAACAGGTACTATTGAGCGCCGCCCGCCTGGCCGTTGGAACAGACACTAATGCTCACATTAATGCCGGTTCAATTACAAACCGGGACTAATGAGTTTCACATTAGACCCTTTTTCTACTAGTGCATGGAGGCAACCTCGAGTTTCTTCCAGCGGTGAGTGCTAAGAAGATCTTTCAGATGACGAGGCGTCGGAGCGCATGAGGTACAGATGCGCGCATCGTACATTGACCAATTGAAGGAAGGAGACGTTTCAGGAGTAGAGGGTCAAGAACAGTTGCGGAAGGCCAGATCGAATGGTTCGAGTGAGTCGCATCTATCGGCCGACAGGCAACTGGCCGAAATATTGGGCTGGCCAGCCGGCGCCTAACGCCGGCCTTACCAATTTGTCATTTATGTCTTAGTCTTTGAGGTTCAGTAGTCTACTATCATAAAAAAAGGCACGACCTATCCAAACATCTATCGTCTTCATTATTTTATTTTATTTGAACAAAATGGAGTATTTCTTTACGCAATTTACTTTGATTAGTCAATGTGTACGTGCAATGCACGTTAATTTGGAAGTATATTAAGTGTATGTGGATATTAAGTAGGATATTATTTGTGTGTTATTATGTGATTAACATTATTTTTGGCATGAAATTAATTATACGCTAAACATGTTGTGCGCTCAACATTGAAGCAGTCTAGGTCATTGGACTAACATGATTTACTAGCCGAGATTAATTGGATCTGCTCTTTTAGGTCTTTTTATATTAATATAGATGAACAGGAATGCAGAAATAAGTAAAAGATTTTTTTTTCAATTTGCAAGAAAGTATGCTAGCAAACACAAGGGCACTTTCGTCTTCTCAATTATGGGCAAGTAACTCATTTTCGGGAAAATGATTTTCTTTCTTGATAGAGTTAATTCCATTTTTACCCCCAAAATTGACCATGTGACTGACATTACCCCCAAATT